GGTCTTTTCCAGGGGGGGAGGGGGACCCTTTGGAGCAAAGGGAAGGGCAAGAGTTACTGCCCATCTCCACTGAGGGAGCCACAGACGGCCCGTCCCAAGATTCTGCAATTGCTCCGAAAAGGAAGTCATGGAGCTTACCCACACAACAGGCATCCACGCCTACTCCAGCCAGGGAGTCACCCCGGGGGCATACTCACTTTCCACACATATCACACAGCACTCCAGTCACGGAGGATACCCGGGGGCATCCCAACAAATCATTCCCCGCAAGAGAGCTGGCACACAATCCTCAAAGTTGGCCTGACCTTACCCCAAATCCTACAGAGGGTCAAACATACACAGAGCTAGTCGAGGAACCAAGTCCCGACTACAACACCCCTAGCACAAATCAGGGGACACCTGAGTTTTGGGAGAGTACAGAAACCCACATGAGCCCAAACACAGAATGGGTTTCAGGGAATGGACAGCCTCCTGACAGGTCTTGGACTGACCTAGGAGGTCCTACAGAGACGCCCAGCAGCGGCTATCACTTCAAGGGGCCTGAGGGTCTACAGCTAGGCAGGTCAACCAGGTCACAAAGCAACAGAAGCCCTGGCCTGACGAGCCCGGTGGGCAAGCAAGCAGGCCAGGCATCGGGGCACAGTCCTTGGAAGACACCAGGGCACAATAGAGAGAATAGGCTCACGCCTCCCTCCAGTCAGGGGACTTATGCCAGTAACCCACAGCTAAGAAGGTCACAGAGAGCAAAGAAATCTCCCAAGTACCTAGAAGACTACATAACATTGCTGGCAAGGCAAAGGCCAGTAAACAGTGGGAGCACTGGGGAGCAAAATGTTATATAAAATAAATGCTGTATGTTGGTAGTAGTTTTAGCCCGGGGGAAAGGGGTGTTATGTCCCGAGCCTTTGCAAACGGCTCGGGCGTTTGCAGGCAGTCCCGGGCAGGTGCAAAGCTGCCCGGGACCAGACAGGCTGTCGCCAGCGCCGTGCGCATGCGCGGGTGCTGGCGCGGGAAAAGTAACCCATTTACCCGGGAGTTGCCTATATAAGAGGCTGCGAGGCGTTTGGGCGAGGCTGAAGCCATCTTCCTGTAAGCTGAACGCTGAATAAAAGAAACTGAGAACTCCAGCTGCTTCTCGTGTCTGTTTTCCCGCCAAGGACGCAACAGGGGACATGATAGCAGTATTCCAATATCTCAGGGGCTGCCATAAAGAAGAGGGAATTAAGCTATTTTCCAAAGCACCTGAAGGCAGGACAAGAAGCAACGGGTGGAAACTAATCAAGGAGAGAAGCAACCTAGAACTAAGGAGAAACTTCCTGACAGTGAGAACAATTAATCAGTGGAACAGCTTGCCTCCAGAAGCAGTAAATGCTCCAACACTGGAAGTTTTTAAGAAGAGACTGGACAGCCATTTGTCCGAAATGGTGTAGGGTTTCCTGCCCGAGCAGGGGGTTGGACTAGATGACCTCCAAGGTCCCTTCCAACTTTACTATTATTATTATTATTATTAAAGCCTTGCCAATTGTAGCTACCTAATTTGCTTCTTAGTAAGGAAGCATCTAGGAAAAGGACGATAATTTTATCTGATGACCTAAGTTTATTTATTTAATTATACTTCATATTTCTTAACCTCCCATCTTCCTTGGATAGAATTCTGATCATCACTATTCAGAAGGAAAAGTTAGTTCTGTGTCGGTAAATATTCCTAAACAAATTAAGGCAAATATATGTGTTCCAGGATAATGCTGCAGGATCCAATCTGGGTTGATAGACCCAAATTGGATCCTGCAATATTTCTAAACTTTACCAATTACCCAAATAATTCTAAATAAATTTCTAGCTTTGTACATCAGAAGAGGTTGTGGACAGAATCTATATAGGCGTCAGTAAAGCTTTTGAAAGAGTACCTCCTGACATTCTCCTTAATAGAATTTTAAAATATAGTCAGATGATACCACTGTTAGATGGGACTCACAATTAACTGGATGTCCACAGCCAAAGGATGTTCCTTAATGGCTCCATTTCAACTGGAGGGTAGTGTTGGGCAGAGTTTATGTTCAACATTTTTATCAATGACTTGAATGAGAGAATTCAGGGGACATTTTCCATTGTAGCTGATATTTTGCTAAATAAGCTAGAAACTCTAAGAAGGAAATAAGGTTAGTCTGCACAGTTTGTTTCTGAAAATGGTGGTTCCTGTTAATTGTAGCATGCCTCCTCAAGTGCTCATAAACATGCCACTTTGACCATCCCTTTGAGAACCTCACTTTGTCTACACAGCTACAGGGCTGTGATTTTCCCCTTTTTGAAGGAGATAACCCTTGACCTTCCCAAATCTTTTGGGACCTCATCAATCCTTCAGAAACTCTCAAAGATTACCAAAATGATTCTGTGATGATCTCCATTAGTTGCTTCTGAGATGTAATCCATCTGGCCCAGGAGACTTAAATTAACTAAATTCTTACCCCCTTCTTGTAAGTCCTAAGCTACAGTTCCTTTTATTCTCCCAGGAGCACACTGATAACTGGTTTGGGGGTTCCATTTATTTTCAGAGAAGTCCAACCGAAAGTAGAAATTCTGCTTTCTCACCATCACCCTGATTCACCATTTTCTCCTTGGAAAGGAACAATATGGGAGTTTAAGTCATTGTTCTTATTATATGATTATAAAGTTTTGTTTCTGTTTAAACTTGATTTAAGGAGTTTGAGTATGTATGTTGCTTGGAGACAATGATTGGGATGGTCTGTCTATCCCATGAAATAAATAAAATTCAAATCTTATATGAACAAGGGGAAGTTTAGTAGTTCTCCTCAAGCATCCCACCTGTGGAAAAGTTGGTTTACACCCAGGTCAAATAGATGAGAACCCATACTAGTTAGCTGGGTGATCCTTAGAGATATGACACTGAACTTTGTAGAATTTCAGACAGAATTGCCCTCTCAAGAAACAATACAGATTGAACCTAGGACTTCTTGAACTTTTTCACACTCTTCATTTGAGCTATGATCCATTCAGAACAGAATAACAGAGCTGGAAGGGACCTTAGAGATCTTCTAGTCCAACCTCCTACTCAATCATGAGATCTTATATCATTCCAAACAAGTGGCTGTCTAGTCTCTTCTTAAAAACCTCCAGTGATGGAGCATCACAACTTCTGAAGGCAAGTTGTTCCACTGGATAATTGTTCTCACTGTTAGGAAATTTCTTCTTAGTTCTAGGTTGCTTCTCTCCTTGATTAATTTCCATCCATTGTTTCTTGTCTTGCCTTAAGATGCCTTGGAAAATAAGTTGATATGTCCTGTTCTTTGTGGCAGCCCCTCAAATACTGGAACATTTCTACAGTGTTTCCCAAAAAATAAGGACGGGTCTTATATTAATTTTTGCTCCAAAAGGTGCATTAGGGCTTATTTTCGGTTAGGTCTTATTTTGGGGGAAATATAATACTAAATGCGTCCACTTGGCTGACAATCTTAACTGGGGTTTATTTGGAGGGTTAGCGTCCTGAAAAAATCATGCTATTTTTGGGCAAACACGATATTATGTCACTCCTAGTCCTTATTTTCGCTGGATTAAACATACCCAATTCCTACAACTATTCTTCATATGTTTTAGTCTCCAGCACTTTAACCATCTTTGATGATTACGGGGCTGGATCTGGAGTCACTGCATATGAGTTGTGTGGCTATATAAATTTGTTAAATTAATTAATTAATTAAGTCTCTTCTTTGGGAAAATAGCTCTGAGATTCATACAAACATCAACCTCCCTGCCTGGGCAGAACTGATAACCAGGTTATATATTAAAGAATGATGTTTATACTTAGATTATTCAGAGGCAATAATATTACGCCAGCGCAGGATATGGACACTCCACAGGTCCTGTTCAGTGTAGAATGCTAATTATTCATCCATTCATCCCAATATAATGCATTAATTCATTACATTGGGTAGAGCACAAGCTATCTGTTATTCTGAGCATAAGCTATTTAGCAATAAATCAGTTTGGACTGATTGGTGTGGACCCGGTCTTTCACGTCTGACATTATTGTCAGAGAAGTGGAACATTCTGTTCAAAGGATTAAAAAATAGGAATGTTGTGAGAATAGGACACTGGGAGGAAACTATGGGCTCTATTTATCAGAAGGGAGCAGAATCTCTGCTCTTGATATGACAGAGCTGGTTTTATCATATTTTGAAGAACAGGATTTCATTAATTTTTTTTATTCCTATAGCCAAATGACTCTGGGTAGAATACATCATAAAAACATAAATACAATTAAAACTATACAAGATAAATAGATACGGTCACTGAATAAAACTATTGCTATGAATGTTAATATACCCAAGAAACAAGGCCCTTAAGACATGCGGGACTCTGAGTTTAGGTCTATAACCAGATCTTCATAAGCTTACAAAAAGCCAATAGGATCAGGATCATCCTATACATTACCATTGAGAAGATTGGAAAAACAGGGGAACATCTCCAGAAAACTAGGAAATCTAAAATTTAATATTACCTTCCAACTACAAAACAGTGTAATGTTTTAAAAATCGAATTCTGTACTTGCTTGCATTGTTTTGCACCCGTTTTCTGAAAAACGCCTTTAATAACAGAAAACGTTGTTCCTCCCAGACAAATAGAAAACACATGCCAAGCATCCAAATCCCCCAAGGATTAAGACAGCTAGAAGGCTGAGACCTCCATATCAGCTTTTCATGAGAAATAAAATTGGATCAAGGACATTCCAAGAAATCCACATTCATTTTCTCCATGTGGAGCTCAGATGGATGCAAAGTGTTTGGGACAGATTCTTCTTATCCAAACCAAGAGAGACCAGTGATCTGGTTCTCCTTGAAGGAAAGGTATGCAGCAGAAGAAAAGCTACCTGAGATGAGAAAGGATTCCCAGCCTTCTTGTAATTCCATGCAGAAAACTACCTGGCATCCTGTACCCCAGTTCCCCTTTCCTCCATTGTGAGAGATACAAAAACAGCTTCTTACATTGCCAGCAACTTTCCTTTTGTAGTGGGCATCTAACTCCAGGATATCCATGGCCTCCCTGAAGTTCAGAAATGCCGCTGACTTTCAGAGGCCAATTACAGTTGCACCTTGCACTGGTGGACTTTCAACCTCCACCCTGCAAAGCTCCAAACTGATAGCAAGACACTTGATTCTCCTCGGCCTTCTCTGTGCTTGGCACCACATTGGCCAGGTGGCTCTTTCTTTGGTACAGTACGAACTTGGTGGTCTTTTTTTTTTTTTTTTTTTGAGGAACTAAGCAAGATAAAAGGAGTTTGCTTGAATGAAACTGGGGTATCCACAGCAATTTCTCTAACTACAGCAGAAGGGGTGGGTCTTGGCAAATGATATTTTGATGGTGTTTGAATTCTTGACAACTCACCACTCTGTAGGTATCTGAAAAGTAGACAGGCACAAGTGATTCCAGGAAGATAGATAGATAGATAGATAGATAGATAGATAGATAGATAGATAGATAGATAGATAGATAGATAGATAGATAGATAGATAGATAGATAGATAGATAGGCAGGCAGGCAGGCAGGCAGGCAGGCAAGCAGACAATTTACTTGTTAAGTATTTACTTACAAATGGAGGAAAGTTTTAGAGACTTTCCAGAGAATGGGATTGCCAGCATTGAAGGAACTCAGGTGGGTCTTCTGTGCCCCCCTGATTCGTCTTCCATCCAATTTCTACAGTCTTAGTTCTCGCTTTCCTTTAACTTTTCAAAGTATTTGAATGAATTCCAGAATTCAGCTATATTTGAATTCGGTATTTTTATTTCTCAGATGGTGGAAACAAAAGGCCAATTGGGGACCTCCAAACTCCTGGATTTTTACCTAGTGGTCCAGTCTTAATCGCTTCTCTGTATGTGCACAGCAGAGTGCTGCATTTAATCTCCAGAAGGAGACACACCTCAGGGCAAGGCGGCCTTTTCAATCTCATGTTCCCTGAGAATATTCCCAGTATTCTCAGCTCACCTGCTGCCCTAAACCAACACTCCAGGCCATTCTGGAAGATGAACTCACAACACTTCTGGAGAGCATCAGGTGGAGTAACCTAATCTCTATGCAACTTTTGATGAAGATTGAGCAGGGAGGAGCTGCTAAGTAATAAACAAAGGATGATTGATGATAACGGAATGGGGTGAAGTTGAGGAACTGAAATACTAAACAAATGAGCAGTATTGGGTGGTAAATGCTGTATCAGTTTGATCTACGTTGCAAGTTGCTAGTTATGAAATAATGAGTTTTTATTCAGGTCTTCATATTTGTGCTCTTGAATTGGGTGGTAATCCTGTATCACTTTGATCTACGTTGCTAGTTATGAAATAATGAGTTTTTATTCAGGTCTTCATATTTATACTCTTGAATTTCACTTGATTGGTTGATTGACTGTAATGGATGTTTATTGCTATTTAAAAAAAATAACTTAGTGTCTTATCTCTATTTATCCCTCCTCCCCCGAAAAAGACCTTTTAAGTCAAACTGCATGCAATGTTGTAAATTAGCTTATTTCTACTTCTCGTTCTAAGAAGTGCTGAGTAGAGTGGAAACTTCTTACAGCAACTTTGGGGGCATCAATATTTATTATAGTTTATTACCAATCATACCCCAAAGAGTTTGTTATAGCTATGTCTAGATCTAGATATAGATCTACATTATATCTAGATCTATATTAGATCTAGATCTATGTATCTACACAGGGTGTGTGCGCACGCGCGCACGCACACACACACACACAGAATTTTATAATGCAAATAGCATGTATTTAAATATAAGAAAATAAAAGGGAAAAGTGAAGGACGGAGCTAATAAAACATGCAATAATCTAACAATGAAAAATTGTGATTTCCTCTTTTTCTTTCCATTGCTAGTTATTTAAATCTCAATTATTCAAATTAATTATTTATCCTTAATGATCTTGTTTTTGTATGCTGAAAACTGCTCAACAAGAATGTAGCAATGCTATTTGAGATGTTGGGGTTCGAAACGGAAAACAGCAGAGTGACATCAGCAGACTGTGGAAAGGTCCCTTTGACTCCCACGCTGGGCGAATGGCTGCTAAAGAGGATGGAGTTAGTAGAGGTGGCTAAATCAACTGCTTTGATTAAAGAAAAGAACACAATTAATTTTGTTTCTACTTGGAAACCGCTTTTGGACTTTGTGCTTGAAGTGGGGAAAAAATGAATCTTTGATTTTGGATTTTGCTGATTAGATAGGCTTGCTATAGAAATAGCTAGTATGTATTATCATATAAAAGTAAACTTTAGGTTTTATGTTACTGCCTTATTCTACTGCACCCAAAAAAAAAAAAAAAAGATGCTGAGACTCTAGAAAGGGTATAGAGAAGAGCAACAAAGATGATTAGAGGACTGAAGGCTAAAGCATATAAGGAACGGTTGCTGGAATTGGGTATGTCTAGTTTAATGAAGAGAAGGATGAGGGGGGACATGATAGCAGTGTTCCAATATCTCAGGGGTTTGCCACAAAGAAGAGGGAGTCAAGCTATTTTCCAAAGCGCCTGAAGGCAGGACAAGAAGCAATGGATAGAAACTAATCAAGGAGAGAAGCAACCTAGAATTGAGGAGAAACTTCCTGACAGAACAATTAACCAGTGGAACAATCTGCCTCCAGAAGTGTGAATGCTCCAGCTCTGGAAGTTTTTAAGAAGAGACTGAACAGCTATTTGTCTGAAATGGTATAGGGCTTCCTGTCTTAGCAGGGTGTTTGACTTCACAAGAAGACCTGCAAGGTCCCTTCCCAACATCTTCTTCTTCTTCTTCTTCTTCTTCTTCTTCTTCTTCTTCTTCTTCTTCTTCTTCTTCTTCTTCTTCTTCTTCTTCTTCTTCTTCTTCTTCTTCTTCTTATTCTTCTTCTTCTTCTTCTTCTTCTTCTTCTTCTTCTTCTTCTTCTTCTTCTTCTTCTTCTTCTTCTTCTTCTTATTATTATTATTATTATTATTATTATTATTATGGATCATCGCACAGTCAGCCAGATGTTCAGACTGGATTTGGCATTTTGTCTATCTATCGAGACCCAGGACCTGGGATAGGCAGATGTGGATGTTTGATGGTATTACAGATATCGTCGCAGGATGGAAGCAGATTTTAGTAAGGCCGCCTTTTGCAATTGACTAATAGCGAATCTGTCAATGCCAATGGTGTTCAAGTGGTGCTCCAGTTGTTTTGGGATTGCACCCAAGGAGCCTATTACTATTGGTACTACCCTTGCTTGCTTTTGCCACAGTCTTTCTATTTCTATTTGTAGGTCTTTGTATTTTGTTATCTTCTCCAGTTCTTTCTCTTCTATTCTGCTATCTCCAGGCACTGCCACGTCCACTATCCAGACTTTTTTGTCTTTCTTATCGACAATTGTTAAGTCTGGGGTGTTATGTTGCAGGTGCTTGTCTGTTTGAATTCTGAAGTCCCAGAGCAGTTTAATTTTATCATTTTCTATGACTTTCTCTATTTTATGATCCCACCAGTTTTTGCTTACAGGCAAATGATATTTTTTGCAGATCTTCCAATGCACCATTGTTGCTACTTTGTCATGCCGCTGCTTGTAGTCAGTCTGTGCAATCTTCTTGCAGCAGCTTACCAGGTGGTCCACTGTTTCTTCAGCTTCTTTGCATAGGCGGCACTTACTGTCTGTTGCTGTCTTCTCAATTTTGACTTTATATGCATTTGTCCTTAAGGCTTGGTCTTGTGCAGCCAGAATTAGTCCCTCGGTCTCTTTCTTCAATTTTCCTGCTCTTAGCCATTGCCAGGTCTTGTTATTATCTGCTTTCCCAGCTATTTTTTTAATGTATTGGCCATGTAGTGCTTTGTCTTCCCATGCCTCTATTCTGTTCTTCATTTGGTCTTTCTTGTAGGCCAGTTTGGTCTCTCCAGTAGTCAGTAAGCCTTCCTGATATACTAATTTCAGTGCATCTTCATCATTGTTCTTCAGATATTCTTCCAAAGCCATTTTTTCTTCTTCAACCATCTGATGTACTTGTAGCATTCCACGCCCACCTATTTGCCTTGGTAGATAAAGTCTGTCAATGTCACTGCGTGGATGAAGGGCATGATTCATTGTCATTATTTTTCTGGTCTGCCTATCCATTGCTTTTAGTTCTGCTTGAGTCCAGTCCACTATTCCAGCTGTGTACCTAATGACTGGGATTGCCCAGGTGTTGATTGCCTTTATGGTATTTCCTCCATTGAGTTTGGATTTTAAGATCTTCTTCACTCTCTTGATGTATTCACCTCTAATCTTTTTCTTGACTTCAGTGTGCTTGATGTTGTCAGCTTGAAGGATACCCAAGTATTTGTAGTAATCTTTCTCATCCAGACTCTTAATGTTATTTTCATGGGGCATCTTGATTCCTTCAGTTTTCAGTATTTTTCCTTGTTTAATAGTAAGTGTGGCACATTTGTCCAAGCCAAACTCCATTACAATATCTTGGCTATATATACGGACAGTGTTGAGCAGCAATTCTATTTCAGATGATGTTTTTCCATACAGCTTCAGATCATCCATATAAAGGAGGTGGGATAGTCTGGCAGATGTTTTTGATGTTTGATAGCCATGTCCTGAGTTATTCAGTATTGTTGACAGAGGAAACAGTGCAATAACAAATAGTAATGGTGATAATGAATCTCCTTGAAATATTCCTCTCTTGATATTAACCTCTCCCAGCCTCTCACCATTGATCTGCAACTGTGTCTTCCATTGTGCCATCAATCTTTGCACAAATTTTCTGATGTTTCTACTGACTCCTGTTATTTCTAGGCACTTGATTATCCAATCATGTGGCAGAGAGTCAAATGCCTTTTTGTAGTCAATCCATGCCACATTCAGGTTGGTCTTCCTTCTCTTGCAGTTTTCCAAGATCATTTTGTCTATTAGGAGTTGATCTTTTGTTCCTCTGCTATTGGGGCAGTTTCCTTTCTGTTCAGGTGGAAAGAGATTGTTTTCAACTAGATGCTGTTGTACTGCATCAGCTACCACACCAGTTAGTAATTTGAAAGTTGTTGGTAAGCAGGTAATTGGCCTGTAGTTGCCTGGTGTTGCCCCTTTTGCTGGATTTTTCATTATTAGGTAGGTTTTCCCAGTTGTTAGCCAGTTTTCAATTTCTCCTCCTTGTAATGTATTGTTGAACTGCTTGGCGAGATGAGTGGGTGTATAACAGTTAGATGTTTCCACCAAAACCCATGCAGTTCATCTTCACCTGGTGCTGACCAATTTTTGATTTTCCTTGCTCTTTTTTCTACCATTTTTGTTGTTATTACTAGTTCTTTCATTTCAACTTCTGTTTTATTTGCATCCACCTCTTTTAACCAAGCTGCATCCTTGTTGTATTTCTTTGGGTTATCCCATATCTGCTTCCAGAACTGCACTGTTTCTTCCTTGTCAGGTACTGACTGATTCCTTGCAGTTTCTCCATTGATGGATTGGTAGAAACGTTTCTGATTGGATTGAAATTGGAGGTTCTGCCTATAGTTTGCAATTCGAGCTTCATATCTACTGATTTTCCTGGCTATAGCTGTTATTTGTTGCTTTATTATTTCCAGTGCTTCCTTGATCTTCCTTGTTTCTAAGTGGTATTTCTTGATTAGGTATTCTTTGGTCTTCTTGTTCTTCAGCTTCTTTTCTTTCATCTGTTCTAGCTTGCTTGCATGTGACCTTAATTTGCTGATCTTATTTTCTAGTCTAACCTTCCATTTTTCTGGTGCACTGTTTTTTGTTTTTCTTCTTTGTTGATTTTGCATCCCAGGTATTCAGTTATAACTGCAGCTGTGCTGTAGATTAGTTGGTTTGTTTCTTGCAGTGTTGGTGCTTATACTTGATATTGCAGTATTTGCATCTTTTAATGCTTGTGCTA